GGGGGGGGGGGGGGAACACTGTTCAGTGATTTGTAGACATGATGTTGAGGTTCTCCTTAGGAGAGACAAGGATGGAGAAGATCAGGAATGAGATCATCAGAGGTACAGTACAGGTTGAACAACTGGGAGATGAAGTTAAAGAGGACACACTGAGATGGTTTGGACATGTCCAGAGGAGGGACAGTGGTTTGGACATGTCCAGAGGAGGGACAGTGGTTTGGACATGTCCAGAGGAGGGACAGGGGGTATATTGGTAGAAGGATGTTAGAAATGCAGCTGACAGGACAAAGACAAACAAGAGATATATGGATGCAGTTAGAGAGGACATGGAGGTAGTTGGAGTGAGGACAGAGGACACAGAGGACAGAGTGAGATGGAGGAGGCAACCACTTAAGAGGGAACAGTCTAAAGAAGATTGCTCATAATGTTATTTTCAAGGTTTGACCAAAACAGCTCCAAGTCTGTAATTTGTAATTCCATCTCTTAAGATGATGTGAAATGTGGTATGGCACGCTGTGGATGATGCATTTCTTCAGAGGATGCCAGTGTGCAGCTCACACACGTCTTCATCTTTGCTGCTGTTCACTGCATGTTTTACAGCAGGAAGTATAAAAGATGTAGAGCTGGTTGTCATTTTAAAGTGCTGATACATATTTTCAGGTAAATCAAGCTGTTTATAGCCAGCGTGATCTAACATGAGCAGCTTACTGGATTTCCTTGTTGTGCTGGAAGCTGGTTTGTGCTTTGACCAGTGGAGTTCAATGGAAGCTGCTGAAGGCAACACGAGCTGCAGAACAGGATGAACACAGCCAGCAGGAGGTGGGGATTTACCAGCAGCCCCAGTGGAACACTGCAAGTCCCGACAAACATTTTCTGTTTTTTTTCTTGACTTTTTGAACTTTCATTTCACATTTCCAGTTCAACGTGCTGAATAAAGACTCATCCTCTCATGACTTCCACTCTTTATTTGCCATATTCAAATCAACTGGTGGCCTCTTTGACTGTAATATGCATCTTTTCATGAAATGGATCATTTCTTTACTCGGGTCCACTTGTTGGCTGTGATGTGATGTAACATAATGTAAAAGCTAAAAATGGAAAGTTGAATTTGACAAAAAAAATAAATGTTGGTTTCCTTCACACAAAAATAGAAGTTTTAGGTTTTAAATCTTGTGTTTCTTTCTTTTTTCCTGTCTTCTTATGGGTTACAAAGCAATAGATCCAGGATGAAAACCCAGACATCCCTCTTCCTAGCAACACTCTCCAGCTCCTCGAGGGTCTTAAGGTGTTCCTGGACCAGAGAAAATACATCAGCACTCCAAGGGCTCCTCCAAGAAGAGGCACCCAAGGTACATCCTAACCCAATGTCTAAAGCACCTCAGCTGATTTCTTTTGATGACGAGGAGCAGCGGCTTGGCTGCAGTGAAGGAAGTTTATCATTTACTTATCAGAGTTCTGGGACTTTGCAAGGTTTATGTTTTTTTCTTCTTTCAGCTGCTCCTTCAGGGGTCACCACAGTGAACTGAGTCGCACAAAAACTTGGTCATTATTTTTATGCCGGATGTCCTTCCTGACACAACCACAGACACCGAGCTACCACAGCCTCTGTGTGGAGCAGAGCTGCATCTAGGACACCCGGAGGAGCAGATGGAGGGGGTTCAAGGCTTTGCTCAAGGGCCCAGAGTGGGACGAATGAGGATGGAGACAGGTGTGGGTGTTTCACCTAACCCAACCACATTTTGATGTCTGTACCGGGAGTTGAATCAACAATCTTCTAATCACAGGCCCACCTTCTCTAACCTCTGCACCACCACTCCAAATGTTTATGTATTGTACAATATTATTTCCTGTACACTTCATAATTCATTCTTTGACTCTGTGTCCTTTTGAAACTGAACATTATGTCACATGTGACAATGTGTTTAGCTGCAATCTATGTAGACTGGAGCAATCTATGTAGACTGGAGCAATCTATGTAGGCTGGAGCAATCTATGTAGGCTGGAGCATTCTATGTAGGCTGGAGCATTCTATGTAGGCTGGTGTATTCTATGTAGGCTGGAGCAATCTATGTAGGCTGGAGCAATCTATGTAGGCTGGAGCAATTTATGTAGGCTGGAGCAATTTATGTAGGCTGGAGCAATCTATGTAGGCTGGAGCAATCTATGTAAGTTGGTAAATATGTTTATCGCCCTCATGTAACTATTTAATCTCTGAGTCTGGGGGACTATTTAAACAGCCGATGTAACTTAGTAAGGTAGAGACAGCTCAGAACTGATGCCAACATAAAGCACAGACTGAATCTCTCTGATGTTGTGACTTTCTATGAAACTGACTCTTCTCTCATTTGCCGGCAAATTAAAGATTTGATAAAGTCTACACCTGGTCGTCTGTAGAACAGTTTTTTTATGACACCATACTCTGAGTTTCTTCTAAAAGAAGATTCTACCTTTTCTTTGAGGCCTCAGCCTTATGGAGCAGGGCTCCCAACCACCAGGCCATGGGCCGGTACTGCTCCATGAATCATTTGGTACCAGACTGTAAAGAAGTATGTTGTGTCTACATCCAGCTGTAATGGAGGTTTGGTACCACTCTGAGTGCCCTGATATGACTTTTGTTGTGACTTGGCAGTCTAGGGCTGGGCCATATCATATCGTTCACGATAATACCAGTAAAAAAAGCTTGCCCGGGAAAATAAATGACATTATGATATGCTAATTTCATGATGCAAGTACATCAGTGTTTGTCCCGCTCCGGTAATAGAACCGAGCGCCGAACTACCAAGCTGAACTGTGCACCCCCCATCCACCTGTCAGTACTGTTGTAACGCAAATTAGCTGCGCACAATACTAGCTAGCTTAATGCTAAAAACAAACAATGCGCAGCGCGGCTGCGTCTCTCCATCCAGCTCTAAAGTACGAGTACAGACAGTAAATGGACTGTACTTACAGTATATAATGCTTTTCTATCTGATCAAGCTACTCAAAACTCTTTACAACAATCTGTGCCTCATGTACCCATTCATACAGCTCTATACTAGATCTGTACACAGATAATTGAACAAATCATTCTAAAGAGACTAATCAGAGCTTTATCACATTCAGACACTGATGGACACACATCAGAGGCGATGAGGGGTTCAGTGTCTTGCCCAGGGACACTTCGTCATGTGACTGCTGGTGGAGTCAAACCCACAACTCTTGCATTGGAGGACGACTGCTCTAACCACTCAGCCACAACCGCTCAACTGTCTCTCCCTCCCCCCACCAGCATAGCTTGGCTTTTTTCTCTCCCCCCACCCCGCTCCGGGCTTCTGGTGTGGGCACAGTGGTTCCCCCGCTCTAAACTGCTGGTACAAACACGCGCAGGTCTGTCTCTTAGTTCCACAGTCCATGGAGCAGGAACAGAGTCATGTGATCAGAGACAGTCATGTGATCAAAGATGGAGTCATGTGATCAGAGACAGAGCATCAGAAATGAATCCTTCCTGCAGGAACAGAGGAAACACCTCAAGCTTCAGGGTCACATGATCACCTTGTTACAACTTCTGGAAGTTACAGCTCATTTAAAGAAACATATATTTTGTTGTTTGTTACATTTATGATCAACAGATTTTAAACTTCATTTTATTTAGTTATTTTGGGAAACTTCACCTGCACTTTAGTTGTTGTGGTGAATTTTATTGATCTATATTTTGTGCAGACTTTTTCAATCTAAATAACAGAAGGATCATTTTTATTTTTTATTTTTAGACTTTTAGACTGAATACTTTACTAAATAAAGTAATTTCAGAAAAATTAACCCTTTTTTAAGTTTTATATAATACTGCAAAGCAACATGTTAAATTAATTTTGTCAAATGAATAACTATGATTTCTGTTTTTTAATGTTATATCACAAAATTTATTGTTATCGTCAGAATGCTCTGAAATATCACGATATTATATTCATCACCCACCCCTACTTGGCACTATATAAATAAACTGAACTGAACTGAATGAGTGTTGCTGTGTGTTTAAAGCCAGCTGTTTTCAGTTTCACTGCATATTTCAGCTTGGCTTTTGTTGAAACGTCTTTGTCTCCTCATAATGTTACCTGGCCACTTCAGCCCCGTGCTGTATAAAGGCTGAGAGATGAATGCACATCACCCACACCTCTGAATTGAGATCATCTTATGTTGTAATCATTTTGGTCAAACCAAATTGAGTTTGAGCTCATTATCTGTAAAACAGAGTTCATTCTTGCTATTCTTGCATTTTCAAAGACCACTTGGCTGTGGCTGCCATCTTGAATTGGGTTGGCTCCAACCAATCAGCTGCAGAGTAATACTGAATCATTTTCTAAAAGTTTTGATAAAATCCTGACATGAGAAATTTTGCTAACAGGCAGTCACGTGAGAACACACACAGCTGTAGCAACATTTGCCTTTGGGCGTTGGATGAGGCGTGACTCGTAAGCCAAGTGAAGGAGCCATGTTTTTTGGGGGAGTAAAAGCCAACATAACATTTAATGGCTAACCTGTGATTGGTGCTTCAGGCCGCGGCTGCTCCTTCCTCCACAGGGGAACAAACACCGTGATGTCACGCAGTCCTTTGTCCCAGAACCAGTTCACCGCCAGCTGGAGGCCCTGACACGAAAACATCTTCTTGTCGCCATGGCTACAAATGAATGAAAACAACAATAACAAAATGAACTTCTTCTTTTGCATTTCCTTGTACATTTTACTTACACACACACACACACAGACACACACACACACACACACACACACACAGACACACACACACACACACACACACACACACACACACACACACACACACTGATGGTGTTGCAAAATGTTCTCTCACACAGAACTGAGGCTTTTCACCATCATCCTGTCTAAAGAGGGAAGGACTCGTTTATAAATACAACAATCTGTGCCTCATGTACCCATTCATACAGCTCTATACTAGATCTCTACAAAGATAATTGAACAAATCTAAAGAGAATAATCAGAGCTTTATCACATTCATACACTGATGGGACACACATCAGAGGCAATGAGGGGTTCAGTGTCTTGCTCAGGGACACTTCAGCAGGTGACTGCTAGTGGATTCAAACCACTAACTCTTGCATTGGAGGACGACTGCTCTAACCACTGAGCCACAGCTGCTCTTTGGTAATGACTGTTTGTATTGTCGCCATGACTGTATGTGTTCATTAGTAAAACACCTCCTGGATCACTGCACAGTATTTTTGATTAATTTTCTTCTTTCAGCTGCTCCTTCTTCAGGGTCTCCACAGTGAACTAACTCAAACAAAGACTTGGCAGTTGGATGTCCTTCCTGACACAATCACAGACACCGAGCTACCACAGCCCTCTGTGTGGAGCAGAGAGCAGCATCTAGGGCACATGGGGGAGCAGATGGTGGGGGTTGGGGGCCTTGCTCAGGGGCCCAGGGTGGGGCAAATGAGGGTGGAAATAGGTGTGGGTACTTCATCTTTCCCACCCACATTTTCATGTTGTCATTACAGGGAGTTGAACTGGCAACCTTCTGATCACAGGCCCACCGTCTCTAACCTCTGCGCCACCACTCCCCATTGCACAGTATTTAAAACAGCTCTCAAAAGTAATCATTGCATGAACAGCTTGTGGAGTCGGCTCAATTCAAAATGGCCACCACAGCTAAGCAAATGTGTCAAACACAGAAGTGTTTTTAATTCAGCTAAATATGAAGACACAGTCGTCCTTTGTTTATCGCAACTGTTCCGTATTCTGACCACCCGCGAAACGTGAAAACAGTGAAGTAAGGATACAGTAGTTCAAGTACAAGTACACAATCTCCCTCCTTCAATAAATAATATACATTTAAGTACAATAGTCCCTCGTTCATCACAGGGGATCCGTACCCTGAAGAAACACAATAAGTGAAAAAACGTTAAGTAGAAATAGTAGTAGAAGTAGTAGTTTATTTTATTATTTACATATATATATATAGATATATATATATATATCTATATATATATCTATATATATATATAGATATATATATGTAGATATATATATATAGATGGATGGATGGATGGATGGATGGATGGATGGATGGATGGATGGATGGATGGATGATGGATGGATGGATGATGGATGGATGGATGATGGATGGATGGATGGATG